CAGTGCAATCTCTCATGGATTTTCTGACTCTCACCGTCCATATATTTCTCCAGGACCATGCATATGCACCGTCCATAATTTCCTGGGGGACTGGAATATTTTTGCCCTCTCACACTGGCCCAGTGCCCTGCAGTCATCCTCCTCACTGGGAACAATAGTAGTATTGAAATAACCCTCAAGGTGGAAGAGCCAGTGAGTTCTAGTCCAAGGACAACCACTGGAAACTCAGAGATCTTTGTAGAAAACTGGAGGCAGAAATTCTCTTCTTCCCTGGTCAGAGCATCTTCCTGCAGAAAGTTCTAGATGCAATTCTGAACTCACCAGGCAATTTTCAGCACCTCTGGTACGAGCGCGCAGAGGATTTATTGACAACAGTCTCCTTGCATGTATTTTTTTTAAGCAGTAGGTTGGTAAAAATGCCCTGGATATTTGTGCATGGTCTCCTTTGTGTCTTTTTCTTACCACAGCCAGATCTCCCCAAGACATAAGCCAAAAAGAAGCCCCATCTGCCTGGGCCCATGATGAATGATTTGGGAAGAGTCCAAGTGGTAAGAGAGGGATTTAGTCCAGTTTCCTTGACTCTAGCCCCATTTATTTATGAGAAGGTTGCGAGAAGATTTGCAGGAAAAGTGAAAAAAATTCCATAATGGGGCTTTTCATTCAGGTTTGTGCTTAGGAATAATCATCGCTGTCACCGCCTCAGTGTTTGGGGAGCCTGGGGAGGGGAACAGTGGGGGGCAGGGGAGCAGGAAAGAAGTCTGTAACCCATGTTGGGCAACAAATGAAAAAAAAATTGCAATAAAGGAAAAGTCAGAAGTTATATAGTTTGCTACCTTCCTTCCAGCTTCTTATTTTATTATTGCATTCCTCATTCAACTTTCCTTTAAATGCTATTAAACTTTGTTTCTATTTGTCTTATCCTATTGTGTGTGTGTGTGTGTGTGTGTGAGAGAGAGAGAGAGAGAGAGAGAGAGAGAGAGAATTGTTGATACCCACGTGCCTTGGTTATTCTTCAGAAACATGCTCAGTAGTACGTGCCAGTAATCTGGGTGTTTGGTTCACACTGAAACCAAGACTCAATTCTTCCAGCAAGTCAAAGCTAATGATGGGTAACCTCAAAAAATTCTAACTTTGATGCCCCTGGCTTCAAAGCCAATGTATCTTCCTGCTGCTACATATATAGAGGAAGAACTTAAATTTTAGCACTCATGTTCCCAGCACCTAGATTTTCTCATTTGACATTTCCCCATCCACTCATCAGTCTGTCTCTCACTCAATGTTATTCTTGCTCATCTCAAAGTTAATTTTAGGTATTAGCACCCTTTACCTCTGCACACTTATTATGTTCATCATCAATTATACCTCAATATTTATTGATTTGTTGTTTAGGTGAAATTTCTATAAGGTAAAATGTATAAGTCTTGTGTGTCCATGGATCAATTTTTTAAAATTATTTGTCTAATTTTTTGAAAGGTAGAGAAAGAACTTGCATTCATTGGTTCAGTCCCCGCATATCCATAAGAGCTGGGATTGGACCAAGCTAAGAGTGGAAACAGGCAAGTCAATCCAGTTCTCCTACATGGGTGGCAGAGACCCTAAGTGCTTGTGCCATCACCTACTGCCTCCCAATGTGGGCATTAGCAGGATGCTGAAATAAGGACTTGAACCCAGGCTCTCTGATATCAGATGCAAGTGACCCAACCAGCGTCTTAACTGCTGGGTCCAATGCCCTCCCCTCGTTTGGTGCTTTTTTTGATGAGTATGTACACCTGTGTAACTAAAACCAGTTTTGAGATATCCAACAGTACTGTGTAAAATCCAATTTCATCCTCACCTCCTAGCCCTCTGACTGCCAAATCTGAAAACACCTGGATATCTACATCATAGATTAGTTTTTGCCCATTTTTAATTTTAAAGCCACTTAAATGAATCACATGGTTTCCAATTCTCTTATGTGATTTTTCCCCCGAGCATAATGTTTTTGAGATAGATCTATGTTCCTGCAGTGATATATTTCTTCGTATTTTTGATAGAATCCCATTGTATGAACCTGCTAGTTTGTTGATCCAGTCATCTGTTGATGAAAAGTTGAGCTACTTTCTAGGTTTTTGGCTTTCAGCAATAAAGCTTCTATGAATGTTTTTGTAATCTTCTATTTTCATTTCTCTTGGGTCAATATCTAAGAGTTGAAGTTGCTCGATCATGTGATAGGCATTTGTTTAGTTTTATAAAGAGATTGCCAGACCCTGTGTAAGTGTTAGCGCCACTGACATCTCCATGGTGTGGGTGGACGTTATGATGGCTCCACAGGCTGGCCAACATGATATTTTCTGTCTTTTAAATTTTAAAACTTCTGGAATATATCTAGTGGTATCTCATTGTGGATTTAACTTTTATTTTCCTCATGATTAATGTCCTTGAACACTTTTTCCTGTGCTTTACTGGCCATTTGTCCATCTTTCACTCAAACAGTTATAAACTGTTCTGTATTTTTTCCAGTTAAACAAATCGGATTGCTTTTCTTTTTCTTTGCCTGAATTTGAAAACTGAGCTTTGTTGAATCTGAGTGAAATCACATTGACGTTTAATTAGCTTTCTGAAAATTTAGTCTTACAAAACCATCCAAATTGTCATAGCAATTATGGAAACAACAGAGGAAGGCCTTAAGAAGTGTGCAATTATAAAAAAGGCAAAAAGGTACAATTCTATTGCAATGAACTCAGGGCAGGTGCAGAGCTACCCTACCTGGGGCTGAATGGGCAACCTAGGCTGACACCTCCCAGGCTCTTTCTATTTTCAGCTCAACCCTTGGAAATCTCAAGATGACCATCCAATTTGGCTCACGCATCTCTGAACCTGTTCTTGAAACCTGCCAGTATTTGCCCACAATTATTTATTGTAAAAGCCAGCTGGCCACCTCGCTCATGACCCCTCCATTGTTTAACAGGTCTGTATTACCTGTGGCCAACAGCTGAATTCAACAATGAAGGATCAGCTTGAGCAGGCACAGAGGGGGAAATAAATGTATTCCCCTCATTATCATAAAGCTGGAAAATCATGACCATATGCACAGACCAAGCCTGAAGGACAGAGAATTCCCTTTGTCTCCCTGTTGTTCACCCACTGTGCTGTTCTGAGACCCCTTAGTGGTCAAAAGGTGACAGAAGCAATACATCAGACATTTGCTGTAAAATGTTATCTAACGGCAAAAAGTGGACCTGCAGGACAGATAGAATTCTACACTGAGCCATGGGATTTATGGTAAAATTCTATAACCAAATAAAACATATCTGTGACCACATTTATGTGAAGCAATGGTGCCATTCTTTGGCTGGTTTAGGTAATCACAGGTGTACATTCTTTGTCATTCTAGAGATATATCCCAGTAGACGTTTGGGGATCTGTTTTGAATTTAAAGTGGAAGTTCCAAGACAGATTTTGCAATTCTTTTCAAATTTCTCTCTCTCTCTCTCTCCTTCTTTCTCTCTTTTAGAAGAAAATACACACTATGGAGAAACACTTGAAAAATATGGATGGTGGTTCAAAAATAGTATACTACCTCTATACATAGAAAAACATACACTTTTGGTTTTGATATATTGCTTTTTACGACACCTCTGTCTATGCCTTGGGCCCATATGAAGGGAAAAATAGAAGTAAATAAATCCTGTGAAAAGGAAACAGGAAACTTAGCAATGTGCACATGTAGCAGACCAAGCCAGGGACTGGCAATCACAGGGACAAAATTTAAATTCAGTATCGGGTAAGATACACAAGGAGAGAATGGTTGCAATGATATTTTTTTAGAAAAGATATATTTATTTTTTTTGAAAGGCAGAGTTAGAGAGAGAGAGAAAGAGAGAGAGATTGAAAGAGAAAGAAAGAGATATCTTCCATCCACCGGTTCACTCACACATGGCTGCAACAGTTGAGGATGGCACGGGCTGAAGCCAGGATCCAGGAGCTTCTTCCAGATCTTCCACATGAGTAACAGGGGTCCAAGGACTTGGGCCATTTTTTTTTCTGCTGCTTTCCCAGGTGCTTTCATTAGTAGGGAGCTGGACTGGAAGTGGAGCAAGCAGGATTCACATTGGTGTTTGTATGGGATGCTAGCATCTCAGGCAGTGGCTTAAGCTGATGCACCACAACTCTAGCTCCTGCAGTGATATTTTTAAACATGCACAATTGAATATTTAAAGAAGATTGACAATTTGTGTTGCAATGGAAACATTGTTTTGATCAAAATTGAAAAATTTGTTTCTTTTCTCATACTTTCAATGCATATTCTTCCTCCTCTCTCATCCTGGTAAAATTTCCACTACTATTTGAGACAAGAAATGAATGTGTGCCATCTGAATTCATTTTTTTACTTCTTTGGAAAATGAAAGAAAGGAAGGACTTGGTGTACTGCTGTGTTCCTCAGAAAGAGGCAAATGCAGGTGTTAACCTGTGTTAATGAAGAGGGACTTCAGCATCCCTCCCTAGAACCCAGCTGCTTAGCTTTCTCCTTGCTTCTACTTTTTTTCCCTTTTCCTTCTAGACACTTGGGTATGAGCGTGTCCCAAAGACCTTCCAGCTCATGCCTCTGCTGGGGCATAGCTTGACCCAGAGTAGACCAGAGTTTACATACACGTGATGAGGCAACGGCTGACTAGCAACGTCCCCACTCCATGCCTGGCTTAGATGCCTGTCTCGCATGGACTACAACACCCAGCCAAGGGGACTGTCTTCATCAGGAAACCAATCACGGGGGTGACTTTCGCTTGCATTACACCTGAGGGCTGTGTTGTCCAGCACAGTAGCCACTGGCTACAGTGGCTAGTGAAACTTTAAAGTTCATTAGTCTTCATGGAGATGTCCTGTCCATTAAGGGTTTGAAGACTGTGTGAAAAATGGCTGTAAAATATTTTTAATAGTTTTTTTTTTTTTTTTTTTAAAACATGTTGAGGGGCCGGTGCTGTGGCACAGCCGGTTAAAGTCCTGGCCTGAAGTGCTGGCATTCCATATCGGAGCCGGTTCTAGTCCTGGCTGCTCCTCTTCTGATCCAGCTCTCTGCTATGGCCTGGGAAAGCCGTAGAAGATGGCCCAAGTCCTTGGGCCTCTGCATCCACGTGGGAGACTGGGAAGAAGCTCCTGGCTCCTGGCTTTGGGTTGGCGCAGCTCTGGCCGTTGTGGCCATCTGGGGAGTGAACCAGTGGATGGAAGACCTCTCTCTGTCTCTACCTCTCTCTGTAACTGTGTCTTTCAAATAAATAAAATTAAAAAAAATCTTAAGAAAACATGTTGATTATGTTCTCATATTAAAATAGAAATATTTTAGATTTGTTGGATTATATAAAGCATACTATTCGTGTGCATCCTTTCACCTTATGAAATGTGCCTGGCTGGAAAGTTTGAATTTTAAATTACACGGTAGCTTATACTACATTGCTACTGAGTAGCACTGCCATTAGAATACAGGGTAGTCCTGTCTCTCTCTCCAGCCCAATTTCCGTCCTTCCATTGATGCATCCTTAGAATGAACACTGAAAATTCGGAGCCTGAATGCAAGCCTCTGTACTGTGCCTGGTCCCAAGAGAATTCTCTGCCGCTTCTCCTTGGTCTGTCTGACTTTCCAAGTTCTACTATAAGAGAAAGCAGAATATGCTTTCTATGACTGGCCATGGTTGGAGTGTGTTCTGTTGATGCTCATAGGCTGGGACCTCGATCTCCCATTGAACGTGTTGAGATGGTGGAAACCTTAAGAGCTGGGCTGTAATGCAAGGTACTACAAATACTAAGGTATTTTCCATGGAAAATAACTTAGGTCATCCTAAGGGATTAAAGTGAGGCCGCCTATGCAAATGGCAGCCCCTTCTATGCTCAGCTGCTTCCTTTTAGATTCTCTATCATGCTATGAATCAGCTGAGGGGAGCTTCACCAGAGGCTGAGCAGACTGGGCTGCCTGGTCTTGCACTTTCTGCTTCCAAATGATGAGCTAATTAAATGCCTACTTTCTTTTACCTATTTATTCATTTATTACAGAGAGAGAGAGAGGTGGGTGGATACACAAAGATCCATCTTCCATAGACAAATGCCTTCAACAGCTGGGGTTAGACTGGCCATAGTCAGGAGCCCAGAATCAATCTTTCAGGTTTCCTGTGTGGGTGACAGGGACCCAAGTACTTGAGCCATCGTCTTCTGCCTCCCAGAGTGGGAATTAGCAGGAAGTTGGAATGGGGAACAGAAGTGGCACTCAAACCCAGGCACTCTGATAAGGGATGTGAGTGTCTTAAGTAGGGTCTTATTTGCTACATTAATGCCCAGCCCACTTCCCTCTCCTTTAAAGAACCCTGCAGGGGCCAGTGCCATGGCTCACTTGGTTAATTCTCTGCCTGCGGTGCAGGCATCCTATATGGGTGCCGGGTTCTAGTCTCAGTTGCACCTCTTCCAGTCCAGCTCTCTGCTGTGGCCCGGGAGGGCAGTGGAGGATAGCCCAGGTGCTTGGGCCCCTGCACCCACATGGGAGACCAGGAAGAAGCACCTGGCTCCTGGCTTCAGATCGGTGCAGCGCCCGCTGTAGCGGCCTTTTGGGGAGTGAATCAACGGAAGGAAGACCTTTCTCTCTGTCTCTCTCTCACTGTCTATAACTCTGTCAAATAAAAAAAAAATTTAAAAAATTAAAAGAACCCTGCATCAGGTGTTTTGACACCGCAACACAAAAACAGACTAATACAATGCTAAAATAGAAACCCTTGCTTTTATTGCAGTAAAATACAATGAGCAAATATTCTGTGCATATAAGTGATGCATTTGGAAGGAGGCGTCTGCAGTCACTGAGCAACACTTCTCGGACACAAAATATCCCAAGAGGCCTCGGAGGCACATTTAGGATTGACAGTCCTGGAGAGTGCACGTGGGGCCTGGGGTGGCTGATGTCCTGCTTAAGTAGTCTCTAGCCTTGAAGAACATTCAGAAGGTCATGGATGGGTGGCTCCAGAGCACTTGTTTCAGAGGGAAGGCACAGTTGTGCTAAAGGCTTTGGACAATCAGTAGTCACTTTCCATGGGAAATAACTGTTGCATGGGTAGACATCCACTCAGGACTCAGGGTCAGAGTGTGCTAGCACAGCACAGCTGAGGTCAAGTTCCTGAGACCCAAAGGCTGGGACACACAGCCTGTGAGGAAGGAGAACTTTGCAAACCTCTTAGTAAGCCTAGCTGTGAGTGGCAGCCTCAAGCATTGCCTTGACACCATTTGGGATGCTCATATCTGGCATGTGTATTCCCCTTGTAACATTTAAGCTTATTGCATGTTGACTGCTCTGATGCAGACAAAAATCTCAGCTTTAGTTTCAAATATCTTAGGTGCAAATGTCGAATTGGAGGAACAATCACCATGACCTTGACAAAGGCCAACACTGCCTTTGCCAGCTGCTGACAAGGACTTCTTCTTCAAGCTTATGTCCTAATGGGAGTCATTTGCACATGAAAGTCAACTCAGGTTTCCTGCTGGAAATTTGAAAATTTTAATTGAAAGTGCGATTCAGACTTGACATTTAATATTTTGTCTAATGCTTTGTGTCATTACATCATGTTATGAAAATGAAACCCAAGGTTGGAATTGTGGTGCAATGGTTATGCCATGGCCTGCAATGTAGGCTTCCCAGATGAGCAGTGGTTTAAGTGCTGGCTGCTCCACTTCCAATCCAGCTCCCTGCCAATGTGCCTGGGAAAGCAGTAGAAAATGGCCCAAGCGCTTGGTTCCTGCTGTCCACATGGGGGACCTGGATGGAGTTTCTGGCATTTAGCTTCAGCCTGCCCCAGGCCTGGCTGTTATAAACATTTGGGGAGTGAACCAGCAGATGAAAGATCTCATTTTCTCTGTCTCATTGTAACTCTGCCTTTCAAATAAAGAAGTAAAAAACTTTTCTAAAAAAGGAAAATATAATGCTTTTTTTCCCAGTTTTATAGACAGTCTTAAATCCTCTGGTTTCATCCAAGCTAGACAATATAATTTCTGGGTATGCTATGTCCAAAACAGCACAAGGAAGCCTAGTAACAGCATATTGGCTACTTACGTTTCTTTTCTAGTATCAGCTCTTGGTAATTTATGGATCCATGTTGTTCCTCTCACTCTACTTACTCATAAGTTAAAGTGTCTTTATCTTCTGAGAAATTATAAACAATGAAAGAGGCTTTAAGGACTAACCTGCACAATATAATGAACTACCCATGCATCTATAAATTATCAGCATTTAGAAGTGACATATGATGCAAAACTATCTAGAATTATCTATTAAATGCTCTCCCAGGAGCCTGGCCCTTGGATCTATGGGGGCCACTATTGTAGACACTTACTTTTCTCTATTACAGAGATGTCTCCAGAGGTCTCTGATTTGTCTATCCAGTTTCATGCTTGCCTCATGCCTTCCCCTTGTAATCTGATTAGAGAGAGTCTCCAGATGCTGTTCTCAAATGCCTTAAAAGAAATTTCAGGTATAGCCTTCATATATTTTTCTTTCGTAAAATTTATTTTATTTATTGAAAAGCAGGGAGGGGGGAGAGCAAGAGCGAGGACTCCCGTTTGCTGGTTCACTTCCTAGATACTTGCAACATCCGGGGCCAGACCAGATTAAAGCCAGGGGCCAGGAACACAATTCAGATTCCCTACATGAGAATCAGGGATTGACAGACTTCAGGTATTACTGCTGTCTCCCAGGGTCTGTATTAGCAAGAAGGTGGAATTGGGAGCAGACTGGAACTTGAATCTAAGGATTCCAATATGGAATGAGGGTGTCCCAAGCAACATCTTAACTGCTCCACTCAACACCTACCCTGGTCTTTCTTACTTTGTATTAATTATAGGGTCCATGAATACTGTAATTTATTGACCAGTGGATATATGAGTGTACTTCAAATTTTTTTGTGGGAAAGTGGAGTTAAAAGTTAAGTTTATTGTGGTACAAAAAATTCAAATTACTTTCTTTCCTTTCTGCCTCCACTGCTGCCATCTAGGTGCACACCACGGTAGTGTTGGATAACCGCCCTGGTCACCATGATCCAGTTGCTTTGTGCTCCTTGTTCTTTCTCAACCACTGATCCATACCAGGTAAGCCTGTTCACATCCATCATACCCCAGCTCAGATGTCACTTCTCCCAAGAGTCTTTTCTGACTATTCCTCTCCAATAGCATCCCATTCAAATACTCACTCAACCTTCTACATCTCTTATAACCTGTGGTTCTTTATTTTTACCCACGTGTGCATTGAAGTGCATTTCGTTATGAAAATACACATGCTCTATATCTTATTTCACCACTGTATTTGCAACAAGCGATCAACGACTAACATGAATTAAAATAGGTTATTCATACATAAGAATTAAAGAGAGTTATATAAGAGTTAAGATGTAAGCACCAACAAGAAAATGAGTTCCATCTCAAGCATATCATTGCTACCAAGTACAAAGGACCCAAGTGTAACAGGAAATCTCTTCTCTAGCAACTACCTACCTCATCTGTCTGCCTCACTTTCCCTCCTAGGCACCAGAGCCACGTTTGTGTCAGAACAAAATCTAACTGGGCAGCACTTCAGCCAAATCTTTGTTACAAAATCTTTCATTGTGCAAAGTATTTTTTTTACCTAGAATAAAATTGCTCATTTAGTTGACACTCCTGATCTCCAGCAAAGAGGCAAGAGCAAAGAGAGATTGTTGACATAGCTATTCACCTGAATAGCAAAAATACTAGCTGAAGTATTTTTGAGTGCTCCTGACTCCCACACGTCTGAGTCTTGAATTGGATGGAAAGGATTTAGGAGTTTGGTACCTTGCATTTGAAAGATTACCAAGATCTTGCTTGAAAGATACCAAACTACCTTAATCCCTAATGCAAAGTATCATGCAAGATTTCACTCCTCCTTTTAAATTAGTCATGCATGCCCCTCCAATCTTCCTTTTCTATAAATCTTAGATGGGTGAGCTACATCCACAGAACACATACACTAGATTAAGTAACAAGTCCTTCCAAAGCCACATTAGCTGTGCATTAACGTCTTGTTCATGTACACTATGCTTGAGCAACTTTAGTGTGTTTGTATCAGAATCCCCCCGGCAGAGCTTTGCTTTTGATCTATGAGCTATTAGAAGCCCTGTTACTACAGATGAAAGGAGTTAGAAAGTTCTATATCATAACGCTCCGCCATCAGTAATTCACAGAGCAGGTAATTTGCAATGACTTGCCAAGCCTTTGATTGCACCGGGTTTATGGCTATTAGCAGTTTCCCCTTTCAAATTTGTATGGTTCCATACTTCCTTTTTGACCTCTTTTTCATCATTTATGGTCCAATTTGGTAGTGAAAAAACATAACTGCTTGCTTAGTGCATGGCTGTCATTCAAACTCCAGTGACTTACTGAGCACTTTGACATTTGTGATGATGAAAAAAACATTGAGCAGGTGCACAGAACACTAACCAGGTTCCTGAAACAATGCTTTATGGGATTCCCAATGTACCTCTGGGCCATAAACCGATTCAGACTTGATTTTCTCTATCAATTTAATCTCAGTCTTCAAATTCTCATTCTAAGCAGGAGGCAACATTTTCACTAAAATTGAAGTTAAACAAAATATCCAGTAATAATGTTAATATAGGACCTTGTAGGAACAATTGTAAGGGCAGCGATGGCTTGCCACTAAAATAATATCAAAGTAGAGCTCATATGTCTACTTTGAAGTCGTGCAATTAGTGGTACTACTTGATACTGGACTATATAAAATTTAAGCCCTATAAAATGTCTTCAGCGATGAAAACTTACAGCTAAGTGGCATGATTCAACCCCTTTGCTGAATTGTATGTACACCACGTGAAAGAAACATCATGTTCTTATGGGGGGAGGCTTTTCTTTGCACATTAAAATTGGTCATCTGTTGTACAGGTGTGCAGCACATCTTGGTCTGGGAGATGTGGAGACCTGCAAAATTCAACACAGTCCAGGTCTCCAATTAGTGTGTTTGGGGAAGCATTCAAAGTCACTTCCACTGAACACTGGGAAACAATTGGCTCATGATTTCCCAGTTACCAGCGCCCAGCTCTGGGTTCTGTTAGACCTCACAGAATCCATCACTCAAGGCTCAGAACACTTCCAATTTAAAGTGGTAAAAAAAATGTCACACGCAGGCACAGTCTCACACATACTCAACCATGAAACACAGATTGTTGTCAAGATCATCTACTTCCTGCCATTATTCTCGTCTAAAAAGTAAACGCCTTGTCCATTGTGGAAAACACACAAACCTTGCACTTTAATCTTCTGGATATTTAACACAACCAGAAGCTCATTTGGAAAAATTCTGAGCCTAGAATAGGCAATTTTGCATGGTTTGAGGTTCGTCAGTAGTGGTACAAATTAGAGAGCATAGAGAATGAAGAAATCCTGTGTTGTTCTGGCCGTTCCTGGTAGGGTAACTAAGCAAAGTAGGAAGACGTGGCCACAGACTCCTATTTGCTGGAGACTAGTTATGTGGATTAAATGCATTTGCATATCCAAAGGAGGTGAGGGCAAACCCCCACCCCCACCCCCACCCCCATGAGGAGGAGTGGCTTGCTTATACAGATGATTTGGCACAGGAAATTGTGTATGTTCCTTTCAGCCACTGTTGTGCACATTCGGGGCTCCCAGCTGAGTTCACTGTTGCAAAGCAGCCATCGCCGCAGTGTTTCACGCTACCTAGTGAAATGCAAGGTAGCAACAGCTTAGCCTGTACTTAGCGCCTTGCTCTTCCATTTCATACTCAACGCACTGACCATGAGCGCATACCTTTCACCCTCCTCCTGGCCAAATGTGCTAGGGAGAGAGCAGCACCGTGCATGAGCCCAAGACAGGAAGTTCAATTTAAAAACAGGGCAATGATGATGCTTTATGAGTTTTACAGAGAGGGCAAGAAATTTTATATCTGCTGCGTCCCTCAGGCTGGTTGTAATTTCAGTGTCTAGGGAAACTGTTCCTGAGAAATTATTGATCTTGACTTTTACCAGGCCTGCAGTAAAGCAAAGGTAACAAATAATATCATGCTTGCATTATGGTGAAAAAAATATAATATTCACAGTCATGGCTATAAGCTGGGACCAAACCTGGGTGTGTTGAACCCAAACCCCAAAACTTCCTGACTTTTTCAGCCTCATGTAATATTTTTGTTTAGCTTTACTGATGTGAGTTTTAGGTTAGTTTGCTGGTACTTCCTGCTTACCTGTCTTACTATTGTGTCAGGTCTTACCTAGAAACACATGCTTGTTTCTGTCTATGTGCTGACAAGTACTCAAATGCATCACTCCCTGCTTATTGCAACCTCTGCCTCTGCTTTCATCTTTTCAAAGATTTTGCATGATCCTTTGGTCCAGGTTATTTAGGAAAATGAATGAACCGACATGGTAAAACTTTATTCAAAATAATCCAAGCATCTCATTATAAAGGGCAAATATAAACTAAGGCCAGGAGAATAGGTGGAGACACTTTACTTAAATGGTACCAAGCTACTGCATTCTGTTTCTTTTCTTTAAAAAGTTCGCTGAACCTTGGCTACAATGATATATTTGCATTATAATGTGAGATATGAATGAATTCCTTCCAAAAGTGGAAATACTGAGGAAAACGGTCTCAGTTTATGAAATTACACTTAGCAGGTTTATTTGTTCTTTCTCAACTTGAAACCCACACGTTTTTATTAAGGCTATGGTTCATATTTCAAATAGCAAGAAATCTTCAGGTCTCTCCCCCTCCCAATTTTTCCCCCTCAAAATAAATCTACAAGGCACCTGGATTTAGAAGAACATCATAGATGGACCGTCCATTAACTCAGAAAACCAGCAAACACTTCTATAGTAAAAATAAATCGCGAGTGTTATAATCGAAGAGGAGGCAACAGCCCGCATTGTTTATTGATCCATAAGGTTAAGATTAAAGCGAGATTCTTGCCTGTGTTTATCAACAGTTTTTTTTTTTTTTTTTAAAGCAGTAAGTGAACCTGGAATCCTACAAACCAATCAATAAAGTTTAAAAGCTTCAGTGAATCTAACCCATAACAGGTTCCTTGTTTGGCGAACACGCTCACGAAACACATGTGCCTTTAAGAGGTCTTGAAAGACTTTTACACCCATGCACCATTACCATTTCCAAAGGCCCTGCAGCATTACCAACCCAACATGTGCTGACTGTATATCACCGTGACCCTCTCACTAAAGCCCTTTTGACTGGAGTGCTTTTAATACCCACTTTCTCAGCTGAGTTCAGGAGTGATTTGTTTTACATGCCACATTAATCCTTTCCACATTTTCTGGATGAGGCAACCACAATTCCACTTGTGAGGTGTTTCTCAAACACAGTTATAGGAATAAAGCAGCAGGGTCCCAGACTTGACAACTTCCCTCCAGGCAGCTGACAAAGTGGGCTAGGGTGCCTTGGTTTAACTCTTCAAATGAGCAATTGTGCCTCAACCACCAGGGTGGGCCGGGTCTTTGGGCCAGAAGGAGGTCCCATTTATGGAAGGCAATTTACTCTCAATTAAAACACCATAGGGATCATCATAGAGCTAATGCCTTCTTGATACTAATGCATATTAGTACAATTAAAATAAAGAAGACATGGAAAAGAGCGGTAGAACCAAGACATAAAACACATCTCAGGGAAACCAAAGAAAGCTCATACATCACACCTTCCTCAGAGTAGGAAAAGAGGGCTTTTTCCCTAATAACTGGGCAATTAGTGTTCAAAGCACAGGCTTTTATTATGTGGTAATTTTACAGTTTTAACTTTAAAGGCAGCTTCCATACCCCCCAAATATATCCCAAGACCAATGAACTTCTGTTCCATGTATTTATGAACTTTTCTACATTTTTAATGTTCATTGAATGTAAGCAAAGTACATTTTCGAAATTTCAAGTTGTCAACAAGGCTAACTGATCGGCCAACCAATTGTTAAAAAAAATGTTTTTACATGTCAGCACTCGGCTGATTTTATTAACTTGTTGGTATTATGCTCCCAATTTTATGTGTTAAAATCTAACTGTACAAGCAACTCGAGGCTTAAAATCATGCCTTTATCCAGTCCTAATTTATTGTTCTTCCCTCATAAATTTTATTTGCAGCTTCAATGGTCTGAAGAAAGCAATAAATCAGAGTGAGGTGAGTTTTACATAGTTTAGATTGAGTTCCTTATTTTTGTTTGAAATTAATCCAATCCATACCTCCTGGTGTCATCGTCATGTGGCTAATCGTATGTCTCAGGGCAGGCGAAGGCTTGAGTCAAAGGGAGCTTTCTCTTTGGGGCAGGATATCAATCCCACATGCTCAAGTGATAAGTCCTTTACATAAATTACGTGGGGATTGATGTAATGTTTATAAGATACCGAGAGATCTGGAAGTGAAGAAAAGACTCTCCTTTGAATCTCTTGTCTCACATCGTCTTCCTAAAATATTCCGAAATATGATTTTAGCTGCTTTTGTGCAGAAGCCTGTTGGACAAGTGATGTATTGAGGTTTCGTTACCACTGTGGAAAACTGTTACTAGAATGTGCCTGGCAAACCGTGGTACTCGTTAAACGTTTGTCAAACGGATGATGAATTCCAACACACCTCATCTCATTCTAAACAACAGTGAGGTTATAAAGCAATGGCAGTAACAACCAACATGTATGTCACACTGAAATGCTTACAAAGAGAAGTTGTCTATATCACTCAATATTTAAATTCCTGGTGTTCTTTTAAATAGCACCAAGAACACATGACCAAGTGAAGGCAATAGTACACTGATTTGTAGTCTCTTTCCTCTTCTACACACACACACACACACACACACACTGCATTTATAAAATTAGTGAATACTCGATTGTAGAAAGCAGAATTCACAGACCATTTGCACAAGTGAAGCCAGATTATACATGCATTTAAGAGAAATCATTCATTTTAACATTACACAAATGTTCAAAACTTTAAAAACTGGATAGATAACTGTAAATCTATTTATGTTATAAAATTGATGGCCAAATTAGTTGTTGATGCTCTTGTCCCAATATCAGAATCATCTAAAATGACAGGACGCCTTTAAGGCAGAAAATGCTTGAAAAGGAAGTTGACTCCTGTTTTCAGTATCTTTAAAGGAAACTTTCTAGATCACTTACTTTTTCTAAATTTGTGTTTCTTCCACAGAATATAGAGTTCCTCAGCTGGCTTAGAATTGTTAAAAAAAAAACACACTATTTTTTACCCTGCTTGGACCTTTGTTCAGCTGAGTTTGGGTTCATATTTAGTTTTATCCACTGCAATTGCCCATTCCTCTCTTGCCATTGGGCATTTTTTCAATCTTAACAAAACCAAGTCCATATTATAGGCCTGCTGGCCAACATTCCAGGTAAATGAACGGTTTTAAAGAAAAATGGTGCTATTTTTCAAAGCCTGACGTTGAAAAAATACAAGTCCAGAACTGAGGCCTTTCAGTAATTTTTCCATGCCTATATGCTACGAGAAGCAAATAGTTACACAAATGAATACATCTGGGATTGTTTTCAAGCTGTTATTCCCCACCAGGGAAAATATGTAGAAATAAGGCTCAGTCTTTGTGCTGGGACTACAAAGGGGCCAGCCATCTTGATGCCTTTCCAGATCTTTTAATGATTTTCCTCATATTGTGTGGTGGCTTTACTGCCCTGTGCCGTACGTCTGCCCATCCACCGTCGGCAACCATTTATGTTGGGCGTGTTCCAATTTTCAAATCTGTTTTGTGGCATTTATAGCTTGCAGCTAATAAGGCCATTCAGTGTTTTTTAATATAAATATTACAAAATAAATTTTGCCATGGAAATCCAGAGGAAATGATTCAAAATTAAAAAGCAGCCTCACTAGAGAAGAGAGTTACCTTGCCTAGAAACGGTTGAGTGAGGGCGATTGTGGTTGAGAAGTGGTGTTTTGATTCCAAGAGATGCTGTAGCAGGCGCATGTGTGTCTGCATGTGGGGTAATGTGCCTGAATATGTTCACATTACACACGAGGGTCCCCCAAAGATGCATGGAAAATTCACATTTTCTCTTAACTCCATTCTTCCATGAACTATTTTAAGTACCTGCTTATATGTATACAAGTACATATAAAATACAATGTGACTCTGTGTGTAAGTTCAAAAAAAGCAGTCATCCAAATCTTACTTTGTCAAATCTGACTTTATAACAAAAAACCTCCAAGAATATGTATCTACCTCCTCATGTTATTTTCCATATCAGCTTGGATTTTAGTATACTTGAGATTTTTGAGAGTTTTTTTCCTTACTGTGATTTAATGTAACATGAAAATTAGGCTTCATAAGATGCTTTTTTTTAAGATTTATTTATTTATTTGAAAGTCATAGTTACACAGAGAGAGGAGAGGCAGAGAGAGAGAGAGAGGTCTTCCGTCTGATAGTTCACTCCCCAGATGGCCACAAAGGCCAGAGCTGCGCCGATCTGAAGCCAGGAGTCAGGAGCTTCTTCTGGGTCTCCCACATGGGTGAAGAGGCCCAAGCACCTGGGCCATTTTCTACTGCTTTCCCAGGCCATAGCAGAGAGCTGGATTGGAAGAGGAGCAGCCGGGACTAGAACCAGCGCCCATATGGGATACCAGCGCTTCAGGCCAGTTGTTAACCTGCTGCGCCACAGCGCCGGTCCCCATAAGATGCTTATTTAAGATGCTTATTTAATACTTCATGTCTGGGAAACTTGAAATCTCCAGAATTAAGTACAAATTAAACCAGAGAAAGTAGATATTATTATCAAGACAGTATTTTTTTTTCCTGAACATATATTCCAAGGGATCATGGTAAACATTTTTTTAAGTTTATCTGTTTGTATTTTCTGACTCCTTCATCTGCTGGTTCACTCCTCAGATGACCACAGCATCCAGTTAGGGCTGGGCCAGGCTAAAGCCATGAGTCCAGAAATCCATCTCAGTTTTTCTTGTGAGTGATGAGTGCCCAAGCACTTGAACCCTTTTCTAAGCAAGCTTTTATCACCTGTTTTCAGTGTGATATAATGTATATATTTAAAATATATTTCCTAACAACAAATACAGCCTAAATTTACAAAACCAAGATTTTTCATTTTTAAAAAAATTAGCTTCACAAATAAGCAATGTTTAGAAATTTTATTATAAGGCTGGTGCCGCGGCTCAATAGCCTAATCCTCCGCCTAGCGGTGCCGGCACCCCGGGTTCTAGTCCCGGTCGGGGCACCGGATTCTGTCCCGCTTGCCCCTCTTCCAGGCCAGCTCTCTGCTGTGGCCCGGGAGTGCAGTGGAGGATGGCCCAAGTGCTTGGGCCCTGCACCCGCATGGGAGACCAGGAGAAGCACCTGGTTCCTGGCTTTGTTGGAGGGTGAACCAACGGCAAAGGAAGACCTTTCTCTCTGTTCTCTCTGTCTCTCTCTCTCACTGTCCACTCTGCCTGTCAAAAAAAAAAAAAAAAAAAAAAAAAGATCTAGGAATTAGAGACCGGTGCTTAAGCCTCTGCCTGCAGTGCCAACATCCCCTATGGGCATCAATTCAAGTCCTGGCTCCTTCACTTCGAATCCCGGTCCTTGCTATTGGCGTGGGAAAGTAGCAGCAGATGACTCAAGTGCTTGGGGCCCTGCAACCATGTGGGAGACCCAGATGAAGCTCCTGGTTCTTGGCCTCAGATCCATCCAGCTCCATTGCTGTGGCCATCTGGGGAATGAACCAGTGGATGGAAGACCTCTCTCTTTCTGCTTCTGTCTGTAATTCTGCCTCTCAAATAAATAAATATTTAAGAAATGATATGGAGATTTTTTTAAAGATTTATTTATTTGAAAGTCAGAGTTACACACAGAGAGCAGAGGGAGAGAGAGAGAGAGAGAGAGAGATTGAGAGAGAGGTTTTCCATCTGCTGGTTCACTCCCCAACTGGCCACAATGGCCAGAGCTGCACTGATCTGAAGCCAGGAGCTAGGAGCTTCTTCTGGGTCTCCCATGCAGGTGCAGGGGCCCAAGTACTTGGGGCATTATCTACTGCCTTCCCAGGCCATAACAGAGAACTGGATTGAAAGTGGAGCAGCTGGGACTTGAATGGGTACCCGTATGGGTTGCCGGCACTGCAGGAGGCGGCTTTACCCCTTACGCCACAGTGCTGGCCCCCCGATATAGGAATTAATGACAGTATTTACGGTGGATAGGGCTACACAGAGAGAAACTGCGTTCTCTGACAGTAATCTGGGGCCATGCCCACCTGTTGACATCAGCTACAGTAGTGCTATGGTGTGTGCGGATAGATCTTTGAGCTCTGGGATATTCGCACTGTAACAAACATGGCATTGAATTAAAAGATATTCACAGGTATTAGATTAACTTCCGTTTCTTTTATTGCAAAGGCAGCATGTTTAATTTTACCCTTCACATTCAGTATAATGTTTGTGTGGGCAGGCCAACTAAAATGTAGGCAGTTTTGAATGACCATAGGTAATATATTCTTATTTTTCTGATTTGAACAGTCAACAAATGCTCGTTGATCAGGAGGAGAGCAGAGATTTAGGGAACTCCTTCCATCTCAGCCCTCAAACATAAGAAAGATTATACAATTACCTGACAACAGATTGATGTATACTATTTCTGACTTTTCACACATATGCACTAACAGAGCATACATCAATAGTTCATACAATCATTATACAAATAACACTACTACTGTTAACTTACAAAAACTAGATGCAATGTTAAGCCCTGTCTTGCAGTTTCTTCTTTAATAAGTCCCAGGCCACTTCTTCTGCCATACTTAGAGATGTGTTCTAAGATGTTAGAATGGCAAAATGCTCCTTTGATAAATAAGCAGATCATACTATAAGTATCTCCAAATATGTATGTATTTCCAAATATTTATATATATTATAACTTGTTTCCAAATATTAAATACTAGAAATAATTCTTCAGTGAGTGTTCTCATTAACATTTTTGTCCATTCGGCTTATATAGCTATGGAATAAAGTTTAAAATTCTTGTTATTATCTCCATGAATATGCATACTACACAATTCAAAGATGCTACTGAAAGCCTTACCCAATGGTAATAATTGTCATTGCAAGAAAATCTTCAGAGGATGCCTGTCTGATCATTTTTATACCTACATAGGTGTTTTCACAACTTCTATTTTTCTATTGTTTTTAATTTTAAAATAATATGAATAGTACATACTCATACAAAAAAATTCTAAAAATATGGAACTATATAAAATAAGGGTAACAAGGTAACATCCACTGTTCTTTGCTCTTTCCACACCAACATTCAGATACTGATACCATGCCCGTTTCCATCATGCATTCTGTGGATTTCACGTCATTTCTGCTTGGACATGATTTCTTAATGTAAATACCATTTGTAAGTCATATATAGTCATATTCTATTTTTTATTCTGCAGCATTCTTTCTTTTTGCAAGTGTCTCCTATGTATCTTACTGTGTTATTTGTGATGGCTGAATTCTATTAGCACATATGCTAATTTGTTTAATCTCTCCTCCATTGAACAGTATTTATGTTGTTTTAAGACTTTTCATGTCACAAAAGATACTCCATACAGAAATATTGGCCACCTGTGTGTTTGTGAAGAATAAATATGTAGAATTGAAATCGAGGGTTGGGTCCAACGCTCTGGCACAGTAGATTAATGCCCTGGCCTGAAGCACCAGCATCCCATACGGGCGCCGGTTTAAGACCTGGCTGCTTCACTTCCAATCCAACTCTGCTGTGGCCTGAGAAAGCAGTAGAAGATGGCTCAAGTCCTTGGGCCCCTGCACCCGTGTGGGAGACACAGAAGAAGCTCCTGGCTCCTGGCTTCGGATCGGTGCAGCTCTGGCCATTGTGGCCAGTTGGGGAGTGAACCATCGGATGGAAGACTCTCTCCCTCTCTCTGCCTCTCCTCTCTCTTTTTTTTACTCTGACTTTCAAATCAATAAATAAATCTTTTAAAAAAAAATAAAAATAGAAATCAGAGGGTCAAATAATGGAAATTTTGATAAATGGTGCTAGGTTGCCTTAGTAATAACTTGAAAATATCCACCAAACATAGAGCCACAATGTTTCACTCCCCAATGTTTCTGTATTGATAATTTTGCAGTATTGCTGACATGAATATTGTGATCTTATGTTTTTAGGTCATTGCATGCCTTCAGTTCAAGAGATCAGCTAAATTTTATTCTGGACTTGGTAATGGATATTGGATTTTATCATATGATTATTCACTAACAGTAAGATTAATGTGCCATTTTCATTACTTTATCTATTAATATAGTGACTTAAGCTGGCGCCGTGGCTCAATAGGCTAATCCTCTGCCTTGCGGCGCCGGCACACCGGGTTCTAGTCCCGGTCGGGGCGCCGGATTCTGTCCCGGTTGCCCCTCTTCCAGGCCAGCTCTCTGCTGTGGCCAGGGAGTGCAGTGGAGGATGGCCCAAGTGCTTGGGCCCTGCACCCCATGGGAGACCAGGATAAACACCTGGCTCCTGCCTTCAGATCAGCGCAGTGCGCTGGCTGCGGCGGCCATTGGAGGGTGAACCAATGGCAAAAAGGAAGACCTTTCTCTCTGTCTCTCTCACTCTCCACTCTGCCTGTCAAAAATAAATAAATAAATAAATAAAAATAAAAAATCTATTAATATAGTGACTATTAACAGGCTTTATATGGGAGACACTTCTAGGGTATTTTAAAAAACTAGTGGACTCTTATGTGCATTACTTTATTATGTTTGTATAGTATGTTTCATTGCAATGTGATAATATTTGTTGTACAAATTTTACTTAATATAATAATTATATTTCAATATATTCAATAATATAATAATTATAACTCAATATAACTTAAGTTTAATATAAATTATATTGAATAACTTAAGTTACGTGGTAATTTTCTTTTTTGTATGTTATATTAAAAATCCACAATATAAGCTTCTTTTGTCCATTGAAACATTTTCATGGCAAAGGATTTTTATTGCTGCTTTTAAGGATTTCTACAGATTTACCAAAGAAATTCTGATTTAGCTCTTTAAAAACAGCTTTACAAATTTTTATAGTTATTTTCCCATTAGATTTTATATAACTTCAGTAAGCATGGTAATTTATACTTTCTATAAAATAATCAATTGATCTTAGTTCCAAAATATTATTAAGCTGAATTTTGTTAGAACTTTATTTATTCTGTGAACTTGTTATGTTTAATGTGTTCTTATTCTTTTTCTGTTTTTCTTCATAATTCTAATTAACACTTTTTCCATGATGCTGTGCTACTCCAAAGGACCATATTTTTTGGTATTCAATTAGATTTTTTAAAAATAATTAGCTCTTTTTTCATTTTACTAAATATTCACTTTAATCTCAGGTTTTATTTTATGGGTTCCTTTAAATTTATTCCCAGCTTCTACAAACAAAGCTAAGCTAAAAGACTTTCTCCTTTCTAGATTTGATATAGAAGCATTAGTCCTAATTTTAAAAAGTATCAAAATATAGGAAATAAATACAAATTCACCAAATGTATAAAAACACAAAGAAAAAAAATCTTAAAAAATTGCTTATCCAGCTCTGTAGGTATGAACTATACTAAGGTTTATGTCTTCATACTATTTAACATAAAGTTGGTCATATATACATATTGTTTTTTTATGGTGTTTTTTAGAACATATTGTCTCATTATTTTTCCCATGTCTTTAAATTGTGGTCACCACCACCAACACCACTTTTTCTAATTATTATCACAATTATGAGATTCATTACGATTTACTTCTCTGCTATTAATATTCTATTGGTGGGGCTGGTGTTGTGGCTCAGCGGGTAAAGCCGTCGGCTGCAGTGCGGACATCCCGTATGGGCGCTGGTTCGAGTCCCGGCTGCTCCACTTCCGATCCAGCTCTCTGCTATGGCCTGGGAAAGCAGTAGAAGATGGCCCAAGTCCTTGGGCCTCTGCACCATGTAGGAGACCTGGAAGAAGCTCCTGGCTTCTGATCGGTACAGCTCCAGCCATTGTGGCCAACTGGAGAATGAACCAATGGATGAAAGGCCCTCGCCCCTCTACCTCTTCTTCTGTGTAACTCTGACTTTCAAATAAATAAAAAAATCTTAAAAAATATTCTATTGGTGGACATTAGAGTTACAATATAGAAGAAAAAATTCATTGAGAGAAGAGCCAGGTACCATGTTGGGTCCCTTGGTAGTAGGGGTGAATGACACCAGTCTTCAAGGAGAGAGAGGGTTTACACTACACAGTAGATTTGGTTCTGCAGGTTTTCAGTGGGCCATCATGTGGAGAGTGATGGATATTCTCATTTCCTCCTCCACCACCTGGTTTAGATGTCTTTAGCCCTTGTGGCTCTCTTGGTCCAAATCACTGTCCAGGTTGGGTGACCTGATGTTTGGGAAAAGAGGCAATTTGCTAGGAATGAATCATGTAGTCCTGAGAATACACACAGCGGGAACAATTTCTCAGTCAAAGGGGAAAAGCAGTATAAAGATGGTTCCAATGATGGGCCTAGGAAAAGTAATTGAGAAAGTAACTGGTTGGCATTAATCAGAGATAGAATTTGAAAATCTAAGCAGTGCTACATATCGGAGGGAGGAGGGTGCTATTAGGACAAATCATGGAGCTCTGTGTTGGTAGGGAAGAACATAGTAAATATTATTGGCACTGAAAGTATAACATAAAGAAAACAAGAAATAAAATCTCAAAGAAGTGGCTTGAGTGACACGGAGACTAAGATTAAGAGAATTAAAAGTTATCCTCAGGGCAGGCATTTGGCACGGCAGTTAGGTCACTACGTGGTTCAAATGCTGGCTAATCTGCTTGCCATTCAGCTGCCTGTTAATGCAGATGCAGGAAGTAGCGGATGCTGGCTTGAGGACTTGGGTCTCTGCCATCCAGGTAGGAGACCCAGATGGAGTTTTTGGCTCTTGATTCAGTCCCTGTCTCTTCCTCTTTCTGAGTTTCAAGTAAAATAAAAATTAATAGATGAAAATTTAAATTACCTTATAATTAGAAAAAAAATGAAACAAATAGAATATTTGTATGACAGATATGCCACCAAACTGAGAACAGAAAAATGACCCTAGGGTTCTCAGCAAAACCTTGAATGTGTTGGATCTTTGTTGACCCCAAAAATATAGAAGAGACATACTACTTTGTGTTATTTAAGTTAAAAGTAATTTTTATTTAATGCACTCATGTATGCATGTGTATGCATAATAGAGTCAAATAAATGTGTTGCTTTGGTATTTTTTTTAAAAAAAAACATAAGTTGAGAATATTTTAATTATGAACTATGTCTCAGAGTTTTAGCCATCATGATAAGGTTTGCTTGACTAGGGCGATAGGGTCCTGGGCTGGGATACTTTTGAGTTTGCCCTCCCTAATTTGAAATATGGTCTCCGCTTTGGTCAAGGGAAATCAGCTGCTCTCAGTAGATAGAATTTGTCTGCACATAAGATCAGCATTATTATTGACATAAATCATACCATATCCTCCAAAATGGTGCAATGATAGCTTTCAGGTTTGCTATAAATTTCCAAGTGACCATAAGATGGAATGATCCAATCTGTATTTCACACAGATTTATACGAGGTTATGGCTCAGAGTATATTTAAGTAAATGTGCTTCCTCCCCAGGTGAGAAGTAAGCACTATTTTTATGCACTGATTTCCACAGTCCACATCACAATCTCTGTGTGGCTCTATGATAACAAGCAGTGTCCCATCCACATGTGATGACTTGGACTGACACCATCATCTCTTAATTAGGTCACCTTGAGCACCTCCCTATTGCCTAGGCGACCTATTAGGCCGTCCACACACTCACTCGGAGCCTAATCCCAAGAATATGTTCCACAGGCTTTGAGGTACTCAAGGCGTTGAAGCAAGTGCTGACAAAGGTACCTGTCTCCTTTGAAGTTCTTCTGCGGAAATCACAGCCAGTGACCAAATGATTTGAAAAGATTAAATTGTCCGTATTTTATGGTGTTCTGAAACAGCAGGGTGGAATGCTGGGCCGGCTGCCAGACACTCGGCACCCAGGCTTTCATGTTTGGCTGCCAGACTTGAGTCACTTGGGGGCAGAAGTGGTGCCATTTTGGGTAGCAGAAGTGAAGTGTTTGAGCTTTAATGCTTTGGTGAGTGAATGACTCCTGTATACTTTATAGGCACACAGAATACAAGCGGATTTTTAAAAGTTTGTGGAAAATAGAATTAAAGCTGGATGTGTTTGGAGGTCAAAAATGTTGAAAACCAGTGGATAGTATTTTCATGATATCCATGATTATGCATGATCCTTTTCTCTGGCTCTGTCAAAAACTAGGATGTGTATTTAGCCATTCTATTTATAATAAGACCTACACACACACACACACACGCATATATATTAAAGGAACAGATTTAAAAATAACATGGTGTGAAAATTATCAATGAGTAAAAGGACTGTGTCTCCACTCAGTACAGCAATGTACTCTATGATAGTTAATGCTGGAAGTATTTTCTTCTCTAAACTCCACCACCATCTTTGTGGACACCTGGATGGTGGGGTGAGATGGTTTCACAGACTTTGCAGGGCACTGTGTGGGGCCCACAGTGAGCCACTGCCTTACATTCAAAACTCACAGTTCAACCAAGGAGACTATGGGCCCACAGGAAAAACTTCACTAATACTACAAATGGATTACAAATATAAGAGTAGTATAAAGAAGTCTAAAACAGGTGTATATTCAAGGACATGACAAATGGTTAGAGAAAGATAGAACTGGGGAGTTTTGTAAAAGAGAAGTGTCTTAGTCCATTTTACATGGCTAAAACAAAATATTGGAAGCTAGGTAAGTTATAAAGAAAAATGGTGATTCAGCCAGAGCTTCAGAGGCTAGAAGTCCAAGGTGTAGCAGGTGGCATCATGTGGTCAGCCTTGATGAGGGCCTTCCAGCTGCTTGATGGCAGGGCAGATGGCATTACCTGGTGGGAGCTCCTGTCGAAGAGATGACACAGAGAGGAAGAAGAGATCAAGGAAGGACCAGGCTGCCTTTCTTACAGCAGCACATTCTCTTGGCCACTATTTCAGTTCCCTGAGACCTAACCTACTCCTTGAGAATTAAACCTTTCATGAGGGTGGTCACTGCCAAATCAGCCAATCATCTCCAACTGGCCCCACATCTTAAGGACCCAGACACCCCTCCTGTCACCACACAAGGGACCGAGCTTCCAGCATATGGAGCTTTTTGGGCATATCCAAACCACTGCAAGGAGCCACAATCTTTAAAAAAACAAAACAAAACAAAAATTAGTTGTGAAGGTCTTTGGGGAGAAGGCAGAGTATTTATTACCTGGAGCTTCCAGAGTATTGGGGCTTTCCCTAGATGTGGAAAGAAGAGAGTGTGCTACGGAATCCTACAGAAATGATTTCCATGGAAAGAGGAAACAAGGATTGGTAGTCTAGAGGGCACCATGATCGACTGGAATGTTGCCTTTTATTTTAAAGAGCTAAGAAGACAATAAGGTGGGAGAACCATGTTGGGTGTTGATTGTAGCAGACTGGAATTGCTGATCTTAATAGCATGAATTGAATCCTTCTGGAGATAGGGCAAGAAGGCAGGCAGGGTCACGCCAGGTGAGCACAGCATTGCCTGGAGACCCAGGTGGCCCTGCATAGGCTGGAAGGAAGGGAGGTTTG